AACCAATTAAAAGTTTTAAACTGTGTTGCTATTTGGATACCAAGATATGAAAGTGAACGTCTGAGATGTGAGTGAACTGACAACTGCAAGTCGTATAATGTTAAAAAGTATTCATAACTATGGGCATAATATTTAACTATTTCTAAGAACACAGTCTGAATAGTAGACGCAGACGCTATAAAATATAGTCACACACAAATAATTCTGCTTTTAGATACTGTGTACTACGTTTAGAATCTCTATTAATGCTAACATTGATAGAGAAATATGCATATTCCTAAGTTAACAAAAAAAAATACACCTGGACCGAAACAAAATATATTTCAGAAGCGTACTAACTATTACATATATCCGTATTATAACTCTATGGTAAGGCATAACTTGCCATCATATCTGAACTACACTTATTTCTATTTTACGAATACAAAATGAGTTTTGTATGCAAGTGATACGGAGCTCTGAAACTTACAGCTAACTTTGGACGTATTCTGATTATGCAGAGTTTTGAGTCTCTCCGAACTTAGCACTACTATTCGTAAGTACTGGTGCTTGTCTATGCATTTATTCTACAAAAATAGATTTACTAGTTTGGATTGAATAGGTCTTTAGAAACTATACGAATGAAGTTTAAAATCATTTAAACTGTCTGATATAAATACGATATGTTAAATATATATACGTATGTGCCTTTTACTTTTTTCAACGTTGCATATTTATATTTTTTTCGTACAGGCAATCTATTTACTGTGTCTGTGTGCTTGTTTGACTTTTAAAACAGTTAGGAATTTATATAAAAAAAAATTCTTCTTTATAATTGGTTTAGATAATATTATAATATGGATGATGATCTTCTATTTTGTACACAAATTGATATTATAATAATTATTGTAATGCAGATTAAGAGGATACATCATAATACAAGTGTCTTAACAATATGTCATTATAAATTCAGATCATCCCCTTAGTTATTAGCTGATAGTGACGTGAGCTTCAAAACTTTACCACCCCGACAATCTCTTGCTATTTGAAGATCCCTTGTGCGTTTGAAAGTTGCTCCCTTTCCATACTTATGACAGATACAAGTTTGGTATATGTAAACTCAATAGCCTGTGTAATTTCAATATCAAACATGGGGTATACGTAATCATTAACAATAGAATGTTTGTAGTAATAAAATACAGGTCAAAATAATTATCTTAATAAATTTTATTCTATTACTTAAATGCATGACAAATTTGTTTGTAATTTGATAGCAAATATTTTGTATCGAGTTACCACTGAATCTTTCTAAAGAACACTAAATATAGGCTTTATTTAAAATGCAAAGTGCAATGAATATTGAAAAGCAGAACACCTAGCATGATTACATATTCATATGCAATATAATTTTGAATACGTCCATATCTTATATGTATAATATGAAACTAGCTTACCACTCCATATCAGTTAAAGCGACTATCGCGCATAGTACCAGATGCATAATAAATATTCAAATTCAATCTTAAAAAAAACTGCAATAATTCATTTGATGCAACGTTTTTAGAAATAAAAATATTATTATAATAATAAAATTATCCAATAAAACCCCTAATATTAGATACTTAAATAATTAAAATAAAACTCTTACTATTACTAAAATATGACTTATAATTAATATTTAGACGCTGTTACCTACTTACGTACTCTATGATCTCAGATTTCAATTCAAAGGATTCTTTAGCTAAGAATATATGTTTGTAAAAAAGTTAGCCCCTTGGGCATAACACATAAGTAACACATCGGAAGTTCGTAGCGTTCGCAGCTTCGTAACGTATCGGGAAGCCATTCACATATATCATGCGGTACTATCTCCAGGTGCCAACTACCTCTTGTCTCGTTCGGAATTACTTTGTATTGCTCGAGTAAGTTTTAAGCGATGCCGGCGTACATTTTATTACCGAAATTTGTGGTCGCTCTAAGACTGCTATTAGTATATTGCAGTGCAACATATTTGCAGTTTGAAATATGTAACTCAAAATTTAATGTTTGCAAAATTTGCGATATAATATCTTAAGTTTTGTATTAATTAGTATTATATTGTAAGCTACAGTTTTCGTTCTACTATCTACCTACTTCTTATCAACACGCGCAACATTATCTGTACTTAAAATGAATAAGTATATAAGTTTTCTTGAGTAATTAAATTAATTTATTAATTTGTTCTTATTGATCATAGTATGATGTTATATAGCCTGTCCTTCCAACACTAAAAGAATTTTTAATTCAAACCAGTAGTTTCTGCGATTAGCGCGTTCAACCGAACAAACAATTAAACTCTTCAGCTTTATAATATTAGTACAGATGTGCGGCTTCATCCACTCCGTCTAATTAGCAAAGACTTCATAGACTGGTGAGGTTAAGCTGCTTGTGTACCAAACGAATATCTATTTTAAAATATCCTATTTTAGTTCCCACTCTTGTTCCTTTATTATATGAGCTTTATTATGACAGATATGAAATACTTACTTTTTAAAACTTATGATTTAAAAAGTAAGTATTTTCCGTACTCATATTCCTTACCTATTATTTTAATTAAAATTATAATAATTCAACAAAATATGTAGATTCCTTAATTACGGATTATATCATCATTCATTTAGCCAAAAATTAATTTTGTGTAGCAACACATGTAATGAATATATATGCGTCTTTTCAAAGCATGTTACAAAGATACAACATTGACGTGTTTATATAAGTCTTAAAATTATATCATTACTGTAATGACGCGTTGCATTTGTGTTGTATTGTAAGAAAAATACAAATTGTATTGTAAGATTCATAAAATATTATTTTAATTTATAAGCTGGAAACGCAGCGTATAAATTAAAATAATATTTTGTGAATCTTACAATACAATTTGTTATCACAATGCAACATATAAATTCATTGATGAATTAAATAATCTTTTATTGGATAATTGTTTAAATAGACGCTGACAAAGCGTCTAACACTGTAAGGTTAATAAAAAAAAATAAAGCATTTCTACTAATTTAAAAAATCAAAATATTAAAACCATTGGCTCCAATTTTGTAGACAAAATACAAGAAACATTTCAGCCGCTATCAAATCTATTGAGATTTCGCGTTCTGTCTATGTAGATTGCTACATAGACAGAACGCTATACAAATTACTTCATACACTTACTAATCGAAAACAAACTGAAATCCCTCAGTGTCAAAGCCGAAATTTAAATGCAACACCATCACCCCGTCAGCGGTCGTCCACTTAAAAGTACCTTGCTAATTTCGCAAACAAACAAAAAAGACGGCCTAATGAGCAGCTCAGCGGTCCATCGAGAAAGTTTCTTCTAGCAAAAGCCTCCAGGCGTTTCCGTCCAATCCATTTGCTTATTTGTTTACCCTGAACTTAGCAGCCGCGTCAAACAAAATATATTGTGTTATACAACACAAAAAACAAGTACGAATAGAACACACACAAATTGAAAATTAGGGATCACAGTCTTGTTATTACATTAAGAATACCATATCTACATCTTAACATTATTAACGTTTCAATCACGTGTAATTAGCCTAATAAAATTAGATTAGGTTAGGTGAAATCAAAGTTCAAAATTAACATACATAACTAATATTAAATCTATAAAGTACCTACGTCACGTTGCTTTAAGTAATTACAGTTAATATGTGGGTAGACCCAACTGTCACGTGGGGATTTCGAGGAAATCCTCAGACAGTCAGTTAATCGATGATGTCAAATAAAGGAAATTACATTTGGCGATTGCTTGATAAATGTATGTGAATATTCAGTCGAAACTAATTCTATAAACTCCATTATAACCAATTGTGTGACAGCACAATTTTCGAATAGAAACTTCCAATGAAACGAATCAGTTCAATAGTAAACTGGTGTAACGTGATAGTTTATAAGGTTCTAAAGTGTGAATAGTCCTACTTGTAATCGGTTTAAATGTTGAAAATAGCTTACACGTATCCACTTTAGTATTACACGTAAAACTACAACGGCTTCTCGGCTGAAGCTCGTTGTACAGAGAAGAATGAATAAAACTTCTCGGCCTTTGGCAACACCGGGGGCACGTCTTCGCATGCCTAATTTAATCCTCGGCTTATTGAAATAAAAACGACATAGGTTTTCCACAGGTGCCGCGGGCATCGCCAGGGTAGCGGGGAGCGGAGGGTCACAGGTGGCCCCGATGGTCGCAGCGTCGTTAAAATTTACATAAAGTCTCAATCCACGACGACGGGCGCCGCTGCCCACCCCACGTTTATGCTACATTTAGTAATTTTATGATAATTTCGAAAACCGTACCGCCACCCATCGCATTATACTAATAGAGGAATTCACTGGAGGACGGGCGATGTTGAAAAAATTCACCGCCTCCTAAATAATAAACTTCGGTTAATAAATCGCGTTCAGAGTGCAACAGACACATTTTGTTTTTTAAATAAAAAGCACGTTGCGTACATAGCGCGTTGTGGCATGATAATTAAATGTAATGGTCATATTAATTGTATTATAATAACATCGGGCTAAGTAAATAAAATTTTACATATATGCATAAAAACATTTTATCGCGTTTTCATTTCGTATTTTTTTGTATGATATGTGACGCCGTTTACTAAATTTGAAAATTATTCAGGTCACCTCCGGTCATGCCATTTAATACATCGAAGGTTAAACATTACCTATTAAATAAAAAAAGGAAAAGTAATATTAGATGCTATAGATATAAGTATTACGATTTATTGTAAAGATATAGTTAAATACGTTACTTATTAACTAAAAATCTCTACATCATTAAATCGGCAAATAAATCTCTATCTGCAAAACTATACCATAAAATGTTACAGCTGGCAATTTCGCGCGTCCGTAACTATCCCGTACCGACATCAATAAACAAAAATCATTGCACAATAACGCTGGATTCAGGTAGTAGTGGAGCGGCGGAATGTAATAAAAATAAACGTTTCGTTTTGTTCCAGTCGAACCTGACACACCTGCCTCGTCACGAGTACGTGCCGGGCATGGGTATGGGTGTCGCCAAGTGTCCCTACGACCCGGCGGACAACTCCACAGCCCTTTGGGTGGAGAGAGGCAACCCTGGCAGCCTCCCGGCCCTGTACTCGGGGACAAACGCAGAGTTCACAAAAGCAGACACCGTCATATTCAGAACTGACCTGCACAACTTGACGACAGGAAGAAGAGAGTTTTCCTTCAAACGGACATTAAAATACGATTCAAAATGGCTTGACAGTAAGTATTAACTTCAAATCAAAACAACATTAATTTAAATTTCGGTTCTTTTATTTTCATTTACTTAATAGTAAAAAGAACAGACAGCTACGTCATTTGTCTACTCGTAAAATTCAATATCCACCGAAGATATCGGGTACCGTACAAATAGCCGTCGATTAAAATATTTAATTGTAGTTCTGTTTAGGTTACAAAATACTTATACTTGAGCTCGTATTTTATATAACTACTATTTTATTTGAACTGTTATAAATAAAAGTTAGCATTTATTCTTCTAATTAATATATGAAATCTAAAGACATAGGTACTATACTAACATTCGACTTCCACACGACAGCTTAAGGCTGAAATAAATCAACCACAACCACAAAACGTCTAGACTATATTATATTGTTTAGAAGTACTTAACTCCTAGACAGGGATCAGACCCATATCAATGTCGTGATGGAAACGCAAAATTGACACGTTCACTATTCTCACGAGTCGTGATTCGTATTCAACCTATGAGATAAAATTAAAGTACTACCTATTTTTACCTTTTATTTTTATTTTACCTTCTATCCATTTTTATTCTGTATACGGATTATGAGGTTGAAACTAATATTTAGACAATAACCGTAAATGTTAAATGCCTTTACTAGAATAACAGAGAGAACCAATGACTGTTTGGGAACAGTTATATTTTAATTTATATTTCATAAAAATTTATATGTCTTTATGGAAGTTATTATCAAATTTAACATAGAAATTTATATAGCGTTAAATGAAGTGCAGGACCGTAAGCGTTACGGAATATCCTACTCGGTAATAGATTATACAAATCAGTACAATATGTGATCAATATTTTTATCCCCAGGATGTTATAAGATGCCACTAGATTAACAAAGATTTTACTTATACCGTACAATGTAAGAAACACGAAATAAATTAGTTTACCCAGTCTGCATAATAAGCATAGTAGTAGGGAGGGTAAATTATTCTCTTATTAGAATAAACTAGTGTTTGTCCTGGTAGTGGATAATGATGAAGAAGTCGCCCTTCAAATCGTAACACAAAACAGACAACTTTGGGTAAAGCCTCTCTTATCTCTGTAATCCATACGAACATTATAAATACGAAAGTTTGTCTCTCAATGAGTTTCTTGTCATTTCACAAATAAAAGGCGCAACAGATATTAATGAAATTTTAATTGAAAATAGATTGTATCATGAACGCAATTGGCTATCATGTATCTTAAAACAGAGCAGACGATGTCGCGTGTAACAGCTACTATTATAGGTATACTATAATAAATTGCAACCATTGGTGCAGCTAAGCGAATCAATAGTAAATCTGAATGCGTTCTGATTTTAGTGGTCACTGGTCATTGATCAGTGATCAGCATCCATAGTCCCAATGCGAATTACGGTTTCCCGGTTATCATTAGGCAAATTCTCCAATTATAGGCGCTTATGCGATTTACACGAGGATCGGCCTGTTTGTTTACTAAATAATGGAAATTAAACTGTTTTCGCTCTAACGAGCAATAATGTGCCCCCGATCTGTGCAGGCCTGTTCCCGTTTTACCTGAATTACTGTTCACGCAATTTCTACCTATTATAATAAATGTCCTTCCACCTTTATTCACTTCCGTCATGATACAATTTCGTGTTGTAAATATAAATTTCAATAAATTCTTTATTCGAACACGACTGGTACAAATATGTTCTTTATTCGTATGAATAAAGAACTAACTAACTGTATCATAAATCAGTATATTGAGTTTAGAGTGATAAAATTTAGACTTTATATAAAAAGAAAAGATTAATCCGTTTTTATATGTGTATTATAATTTATTTTGTGCTATCAGACTTTCCTAGTAATGATTCATTTCACTGTTACTTTACTAGATGGAAACACAAAAATTCTAGTAATACTCTGTATAACTCTGTAATGAAATTTTGTGTATTTGAATTAAATAACAAACACAATATTCTTAATATTCTCTAAAGCAAATTCTCTTTATAAATTACGAATACAAATATAGAACATGAAAGTAATATTCATCATCGCAACTGTAATAAGAGCAAATGGAAATATCCCAATTCGCGCATTAATTTGAGTGTGCCACAATAACATGGGAATAGAAATTTAGAAATTACGTGGCGACAAATTTACGTAATTTTCGTTTAATATAATATCGCTTTGTTCATTACACACGGCCCTTTATTGCTTGCAATTCAAACGCCACTAACAGTTAATTATTTTCCTTTAATTTCAATTTATTAACCCCTTTATATTCAAACGCAGATTTATTTTATCTCGGAACTCGTTGTATCCTCGAGTAGAGTTTTATAATTACATTGAAAATAACTGAAACAATCTAAACATATTTGCAGTAATGTAATAATATTCAGTTTATGCACAGATAACATAATATTACATAGTTTATGTCATATGGCTGCTAAATCACTATCATAAAATATACATGTAATACAAATATTATATATAACATTTGTATTAGCATGCGTAACATTTTTAGCATCATGATAAACATGACATTTTTTATTTTATAGGTTATATTCGCAGTTCATAATAATTTAAATGACGTGTATATAGTGTCCTATTACTAATTTTGCCGAATATATTTATCGACACATATCAGCCTCATCTATCATCCAATGTACATTATAATACCCAAACTTAATACCCACATTATTACACAGCTTAATTTATAGCGACAATAATAATTTCAAAAGATCCAAACGGAGCCTTATTAAGTTTTAATACTTAGTAGTAATGTTAACTGCCACTGAAGCGTATATTTTACAACAATGAGAAAAAAGATCGCTCCTCGTCGCGCGGTCCTATTCCGTTAATCCTGTACGCGTGGCGATTTCATTTCGAGACCAACAAATAAGCATTATTAGTAATGGCGGCTATGAACGCTGGTACATCATAATTGACATCCACGTATTCATCTAATATTTATTGCGTATAGCTCTGAATGGCAGTAATTTGATCGTGTAGAATTAACATGGGAACGCGTTCCCATCTCTTTTATAATATGTTAATAAACAAAATAGCATTATACGAGATAGAAATAAATTGCTTTAATTTCTACATATATATATATATAGTTATAAAAACCATTCCACTGAATCTTAACGTTACTCTTACTACTTACTCTTATTCCACAAAAATCGTTATTCATATAAATCAAAATAAAATGTATGTTTTGTAATAATTTTGAAGTTACATTTCGTATGTCTGAAAAGTAAAATATTAATCCACTTTACACAAACGTAATAAAATTTGTAATTAAGTCATTATTTATTTTCTTTTAGAACCGAACTTCGTGGGATCATTCGATGTCGGCGAGTATGTTCTTTTCTTCTTCCGGGAAACAGCAGTGGAATACATCAATTGTGGAAAGGCAGTATACTCAAGAGTGGCAAGAGTATGCAAACGAGATACCGGTGGAAAAAATATACTCAGCCAAAACTGGGCTACATACCTAAAAGCAAGACTGAACTGCAGTATACCCGGAGAGTTTCCGTTTTACTTTAATGAAATACGTATGTACAAATTTTTAATATTAACATATTTATTTGCCTGGCAGTACAGATAAAAAAGGTAAATTAGCTTCATATAATTATGGTAGCGGAAATAATAGCCACTGTAATTATAATACAATTATATACCAATTTCATGCCCTTGTCGGCCATAGATGGCACCTTGTAGAAAGAAGGGACAGGTGTTGTTGCTTACACTGTTGCTTTGCGTTATATTCACGTAGGAACATCTTACACGATCTGTCGGATCATAAAGAATGTAAAATATTGTATTCTCGTAGCACATAGTTATTATAATTTAAAGAATATTAGTAAGAACATGTAGTACTCTTCGGTGTTTCATATAAGTAATATGGTGACACACAAACTGACATCATTAAACATTAATTTCCCTCCTAGCGTTTACCCTTCCCAAATACTTGTGTACTTTCAATTTTTAGTACGTAAATATTTTAATTCTAAATTGGAAAGTTCACTATATAAGTGACAAGTCTAACTGATTTTTCGTGCTCCCCAAATGGCCGGTGCTCTCAGACTATGTTCATCTAATATTAACGCGCGACGCTCCGGTTTCGCCACGGTTTTTCACGCGCCCCCTACTATGGGCCTGCATAACTCATGAGAATGTAATAGGTACTCAAGTGCAGTATTTGCTATAGGTGTGTTATTTACATATCCGTTCGAGCGCTATTAGAAAAGTTTACGCGAACTCTTGCCGGACGTTAATCGTTTGGAATAAGTGTTTGTGAAACGACAGTTGCAGGTGTACATATAAATACAAGTCAATTCTAAACTTTTGTAACTTAATATTTTAATTGTAGCGCTGCGTGTTGTCACGTGCATTTTAAAATAGGAACTTTATATTTATTAATTTAACGCTGTATAACCTCTAAAACAACTGGTTTATACTTCACATTTTCCTGTAGGAAAACCTTCATTAATGAGACTTGGCAGTTATTACGCTAACTCTTCAGTAAATTATAGTTGATATTCAACATTTAATGTGACATTGATCATTTTAGAAACTAGTTTAATTGTTGCAACAACTTTCGGAGACATCGAGATAATAAAGTTCAGCAGCCGCAATTATAACAATTTGATAGTCAACTCTCGCAAACTTTAGACAACTAAGAGTAGATTAGACATTTTGACGTTGCTTGATAAATTTTCTCTTTAGTTCTTGTATTGTTGGGTATAGTTTTATATGAGTTTTATTAATGCGTTTAGTACTTTCACAAATGTATTATTATACCTCTTGATATACCGTGACAATTTTGATTTCATTAACAGATCAAGTGGATATGTCTCTGTAATATAAAGTATTCCTAACGCGTCTAATATACATACATTGATAATAATAATAAGAAATAGGTAATAAATTAATTTAAAAGAATGATGTAGTTAGCTAGCTGTTAAAGTGAAATTATTTTATTACTTCAACGAGCATAAGTTGAAACTTATTACATAGTTGTATGAAATATTGGACTTTGGACAATGCTATTCTAATTATTACCAGTGCTTACAAATATCTCTGAATTCTTAATAATAAGACTAGGTGAATGCAATTCTTAATAAAAATATTTTGTTTACAGAAAGCATCTACAAAATACCGAGCGACGACAACCGTTTTTATGGAGTATTCACAACAGCCTCTACCGGTCTTATGGGTTCTGCCATTTGTACGTTTACCGTCAGTGACATTCAGAAGGCATTCGAGGGCAAGTTTAAAGAACAAGCCACTTCCAGTTCGGCCTGGCTTCCAGTCATCAGCAGCAAAGTACCGGAGCCCAGACCTGGCACTTGTGTCAATGACACGTCATCACTACCAGACACAGTACTAAATTTTATTAGGTATGTGTGTATTCCGTAGTGTGATCACTTAAAAATCCAGCGGAGGCGATAGATTAATAATAATTAATCTATTCTTTTTATAGTGTATATAATGTGTAAAATGATTCCTACCAATATAAGCATATATTTTATTATATTTCCTTCAATATTTTACTTATAAGACCTCAGAAATAAAAATAATACTAAGTATATACCAAATTAATTTATTTTCAACAACAGCCGAGTTCAAATGAGCAAGAGAGCGGTATTGTAGTTATTGTAACAACGCGCCGGACGTAAACAAAGTACAAAATCGTCACTTAAAAACGTGAAATGCGATCCTGTCGGTGCTACGCCGTCGTCTCCAGCGATTCCAGAATTTCCACGCTCATTGAAATCCACAGGCACTTTTATCCTCGCGACACGTCCTGTTAATTATCCAACGCTCTCACCCAGAGAGCGTTCAATTATTTTTTTTTTCATCGCTTTCACAATCCCCATGTGGAAACGTTGAGATTTTAACACTTCACCTGAACCACTGTACTGAAAATAGTATAATAATTTTTTATTCACATCCCGAGTGGATGTTTTAATTAAACGTATGTTATGTTTTGTTGCAACATTAAAGCTTTTTCTTTCTACACGGCCTACACGTTGACGCGTCATCTCTGAAACATTATCGTACGACATTATTGTACGACATGCGACAATAGCACGGCTGTCGCTGTCGCTACGTGCGCCACGTCGTTATCAACATTCCCGTAATGTTTCCGTCGACTCGCTTCGATGACTTTCCTTTATTAGACACCTTTACACTCTAGGGCATTGTAGAATAATTTTAGAGCCCTATTAATAGATCCACGCTCGATTTACAAGTATTAATTTAGTATTTATTGATTTCTAATTTACACGGAATACTCATTAAGTTGCGGCATTTCGTAGTGTGTATTTATTTAGGTTATTAGGTCCAGTATACCACATCCAATTTCGTTACTTTACACTGCGAGTTTAATATAAAACATATTTAAAATGTATTGTTAGAATAACGTCGAGTGACCATCTCTATACATAGAAATGTATTTACATAGACATTGAAAATATAAATATAATCCAATTCGTAACTACTCTTCAATAAAATTATTCAATTACTATATTATAAATAGATACCGTAGAATATACTATAGCATATTATTTATTTTATTACATTGTCATGTAACACACAATAGACAATTTTTTGAGTATATTGTTTATTTCCAGATCTCATCCACTAATGGACAGCGCCGTCTCCCATGAGAATGAAAAGCCTATTTACTACAAAAGAGATCTGTTCTTCACCCGACTGGTGGTGGACAAAGTTAAAGTCGATATGCAGGGCCATCAGCTTGACTACACTGTATACTACGCCGGCACAAGTACGTAATTGTTTATTACTTATTAACTTACGACGTAGAATATGAAGACTATATGTCATTCTATATGTATTCAAGCACGGCTATATATATTCACGCTTCATATAAGCAATTGTTTTTAGGGGCTATTCAATCTTGTTCTGCAGCATGGGGTTTTTCAAGGGCCGTATACTTGTTTGCTACCTACATAGTATAAAAAAACCCGAAATCATTTACAAATAAATAATTTATTATTATTCGTTTTAAAATTTAGTTCGTCGTAAGTCTATCAGTTGAGTCGTATTTATTATTTAAAAAAATGTACAAAAAGCACTAGCTATTAACTAGTGATACTTAAGTAAAGTATGTATAAATTAATATAACATAAATAACACATAGTTAAACACTAATACGAGCAATATGCATTAAAATGTTATTTAACTGGCATGCAAACTTCATTTAAACTGCAACAACTCGCGTTTTGTTGAAAAAATTATTACCTACATGTTTGACAACTCAGGGTTAACTTTTGAACTAGACAGATAGAAATTTACATACAAAGAACCAGGATAATGCTCTGCGAGGTAATTATTAAGATTTGAGAAATTAGGTTGGCAAAAACATAAAATATGCATGAAAAAACATTGAACCGAATTCACAGATGAATGCATGTTGCTTTAAAAAAAAGTTTATAAGTGGTTTAAATATTCTCAATATAGAAAACTGTCTCTCTCTCTCTCTCTCTCTCTCTCTCTCTCTCTCTCTCTCTCTCTCTCTCTCTCTCTCTACCCACGGTAACATAACCCACTAACAGTAAGCATATCTCAAAACAATGTGCACGTGACCGAGCTTGCGAAAATCAAATGCGGATACGGGGGATGACATAAAATTTCAAAAAAGCAAACAAATTTAAAAATGTCCGCCTGCTGGGAAATTAAAAGAATGAAAGTGGCACAAAGGCAATAATTCGTCTCGCCGGTGACGGCCGACGGTCGGCCTCGCGTCTGGATGCCATTGGATTCTACTCACAAACGAGTTCATGCACGTTCAACTATGAACAGAGGATTTGGTTTAAAACACCAAAAACCTGTTAAAGGTTTTGTTTCTAGGGAAATTGTGTGCAAAATTATCCAAAAGTTGTCTTATACACACTTTTAGCACCTTAGAGTATTTTCATCTGCATTGTCCATATATTATTATAATAATAAGCCACATGAAAAAATTACTGAAATAAATGAAAAGGCATTGTTATAGATTTTCTTTTAAAATAAGAATAGTTAATAGAATATAAAAATCGTTGTAAAATTTAATATTGTTTGTTTAATCTAAAGTTTAGTAATCTGACTCTACAGGCTAACCAGACAAATGAAAATTGAATGCAAGGCATATACAATTTTCATCTGTCTGGTTATGCTGCGAATAATATTGTCTATTATTTTTGAGGCCACTTCTGGGACTCCTAAAATAACGCGAGATGCAGAAACACTATACCCATTCATGTGAAAAAACACTATATCCTATACCTAATCTTATATAGTTACAATTAAATTGTGTTGGCGGGTTTAAGTAAGCTTTATACTTATCATGACTTTCTCCTAATACTTAATCATATATGAGTGTATTTATCTTACTAATATTATAAACGTGAAAAAGTATCAAATATCCACCCATCCATTCATACTCGGAATGAATGTATGTGTGGATGTTTTTTACTTTTTAAGCAAAAAATACTAAACGGATTTAGATAAAACTTAACACTTACATAGCTTATATATCTGAATAACATATAGGCAATAATTTAAATAGATATAATGTAAATTGGTAGAAATATAATTATAAATGTTAAGAAAATGTAATACAGACGAAGTTGCGCGGATCAACTAGTATATATAGTATTAATATTGTTACAGACAGACAAACATATATAAAAACGCAATAAACAACCCTTTAACCTTTCTAATGATTTTAAATATTTTATATACTTAATTATAACTTGACGTTAAAAGCCTATTAAATTTGTCGCGAAGTAGAAAGTATTTTCATTTTTGTCGCCTATTCAAGTGTACGTATGGGGTACGGTTAGTTTACGTAGTACATGACAGGTCGTATATAGAGCTCGATCCAACCGCAGAGGCTGTACGTCACATTTCCACTGCCGCATAAATTCGGCCCGCCGTCTAAACAACGCCTCCGAGTGGTAATTTTCGCTTGTGTTGTTGCAATTTTCACCAATTTTCGTCGAAAATCGTTCCCGACCAAACCGCCCTACCATGAAGCTACGGACTGGATTAAACTCACGTAGATATCTAACGAAGGGGGGTTCGTTTACGGAACAACTTTTACGAAAGGCGAGCTACGTTTGAGTTGCCGTTTGAAATGCTTGTGTGTGGAATATTAAATTGTTTAAACGTTACCTTTGACGTTCCCTCCCTTTCTATAGCCACGTACCGTTATAATTACTCTAACTTAATCTGCACAATGTAACTTTATTTCCACCTTCTGTAGATGTTCCCTCACAGATACATTCGCTGCGCTTAATTGCAGAGCTCAATCGCAATACACGAACGTTACCTAACCAGCTTCCATTACGCAGATGTATAATAAATAATTTTGTAACTATATACAAACCGCAGCAAAGAGGAAGCGCCCGTAAATCCGAAACCCTCTTAGTTCGCTATTATTTAGACTCGGAGCGCAAAATAAGTTGCACGAGATTCCGTCACAAAGAGCTCGAGGCGTCCTGTGAAAAAGGACAGTTTACTCTTTCAATAAAGAGAGAGTTAGTGTGCTGGCATCTACGGCTACGATATTGCCTCCCCGCTTAGCCCATTTTGAGTGCTTACCGCGTTATAATATGCATTAAACTGCACTAGCGAAAAGTTGTACGGGCACTGAGACACAGGGGCAGGAGGTGCTATCAGACAATGAGAAATGAGCGCATGATGCTTTCGCAATGCGGGCCCCTCGCCTCCTCTGGTTCCATTTGTTTTATCGAGCCTAAATCACTGTTGCTAGACAAGTTTTAAACACCCCGCCCCGAGGTTGATAAAAGTTTGACAGCGACTGTCATGTACATACTGAGCTCGTGTTTGTCAATGAAGGGAGCCGAGGTATCAAAGACGTTAAGAGTATTTAGAAGTTAACGAAGTTAATTAAATTCCCCGAGTTAGACGTCAACGCCGGGACTCTTTAGTATCAAGGGCGCCTTTGTAAACAAACCAACATAATAACGTTCACGTATCGCGTGAGTACAGTCTCTGTAACAACAGTCTCGAAACCTAATTACAACGCGTTTGTTTCGAAACACGAAAGAAGAGCCGTACTAATTTTTATGATTCACATATATAGCTGGTTTTAGAAAAAGTTTAGTACGAGGTAAGTGGAATCAAATTACAGTCTGTGGCAGAGATCGGCTTTGACATCACGTACAATCACGCCTCGGGTACTATTAAAAACGATTTAAAATTCACAGTCGGCTTGATGGTCGAGTCGCCAGTGAAACGTTATAGCCATTTGATGATATAATTATATCGGTCGTACTAGACCTCTAAAATGTATAGTCCTTTGATGTTTTGAAATTTAGTTTCTGGAACTTTCAGCATGGCTCTTATACTGTGTAAATGGATTTCGTTGGTAAATTGCCAAATAAAGTCTACGGAGGATAATAATTAAAGAAACTTTCGTTCTTAATAGCTACTAATGTATATAAATTATAACAGAATTTATTTTAAATTGAATTCATAATGTATTTTAAGTTCATAATATACGTATTACGTAGTAGTTTACGTAATTTAAAAATGTAACTATTGTAGTAATATTAATATTTTTAAAATATGCATTTCTTTTACTAGTATTATAAAATTTATTACATTTAAACAATCGAGAAAATCTACACCTGTATTGATCTATTCATTCCTCCAGTTACTAAAGATCTACCTATATGTTTTCTTTTTTTGCATTAAATTAGTAACAAATTTAATAAACTGTTTCTTAAATCATAAATTAGTAATATGAATTGTATTTAAATAATTTATTCAAAGTTACCCATCAATTTACTGTACTTCTATATAATCTTTGATTTGAAATTTGTTTAATCTTTTACTAGAGTCTTTAAGCTATTCCTTTAACAAATAATTAATTATGAACTAAAATTCTAGGGCTCTTATACGACACTAATTACCAATTTTCAAAATATATATTATAAATTATTAAATGTATCTAAGGCAATTTTATTAATGCTATGAGAATAAATATGGGTAATAATTTACAAAATAACATAGCATGCATAAAATGTAGCGATACGCATCGAATATCGCTCTTATAAGTATCGGAAACCCATTTGCTTAAGTGCATGAAGTCTAAGTTTTGCCATAAACATGAAATGCGGTTTCGCAAAATGATATGTTAAGGTATCGGTGAGGTACATCGATTGGAGTGGCGGCAGAGTTATTGTAGGACATACTGGTGCTCGGCTAACGGTGCATTCGCTAGAAATTACGACTCTCTTGGCTCCTGACGAACGTCTGCCTCTAAAGCTGTATATCGAATCTCAATGACGTTCATAGCCCGCAAGACGAAAATCAACTATATTTATTACTTAACAAGTTACGATGCCGTGCATAATACAGGTACTTCAAACTTAATTTAGATAACTCTTTACTTCAGAATCATATATGCTTATCTTCAGTTGACAGCAATATTAACTTTTGATGAAACATAAAAAATCTCTCCAACATATGTATGTTGCCCGAAAGATCTTTCATTTATATTTTAGTTACGCCCAATTTCAGGGCATAGTTTTAGTTTAGTATCGATTTCAGACGTAAATTAACCGGAATTGAAACTATGAGTGCTATATATATAGTATGATGCTAGTGAGTAGTAGACATAGTTGAATTCTGAGATTTTATATCGATTTACTGTAGCGATCGAGGACGTAAAGTTCTAATGGAAAATAAATTTGCAGTTAAACAGTCCAACTTTTGCAAATTTATTTTTCATTTCGTTTGGTTTACATTGTTTTT